ATATATATATATAAAAGCTCAAAATTGCTAAATGTCATTACCTTAACTTCAACTCACTAAAGCAAATGTGATGAATTAAATCAACTGAATAAAATAGGTAATTATAATTATGGTCTAAAAAAAAAATCTCAAAGTCGATGTGTAATTCAACAGTTTTAATTTGCAAAAAGATACCGGTTAAAACATTGAATGAAGCACTGAAACAAGCCACAGTGACGCTGCAAAATACCACTAAAAAAATGACATTGTAAAATTCCCCAAGTACTGAAGGCGGTTCAGTCCATCAGAAAGGCAAACGTTAGCGTATTTACACCTGGAAACCGCGTTTCCTGTAACTCTGCCAAAGGAAAAAAAAACAACAACAAAAAAAAAAAACAACAACAAAAAACAAACACACAAAAACGCATTCAGACAAAATGTTTCCTTTTAAAAAGTTGTACAAAGAGAAAACCGTCAACTTCCCGCTCTCCTAATCAAACCACAGTAGTCTGTTTTTGTTTCGTTTTGTTGTTTTGTGTTTTTTTTTTTTAAAGGCACCACTGTAGGTTTCACACAACACATCCAACATCTCCGGTCAGTGTTTAATATGCAGTAGAGTGAAGTAAGAAGCTGTAGAAAAGACTATTGTTAACGTGTGACGTCATAGAGTAGTGAAGAGTTGCAGAACAGTGACGACAAATGTGGCGCTTTGTACAAAATGTTGATTAAAGTTGAAGTGTCCCTGCTGTTGGATTAGCCCCGACTGTAACCTGCTGTGCTGGTGTAACAGCACTCCCTGCTGGACAGACTGGAGCATCACAGCACCATAGGTTAAACAGAACGTTGTCGTGAGCTTTTGAGAGAGAGAGGATCAGGACCACGTGATGCTGAAAATCAAATGTTTGCATTTAAGACTGTTCTTTTCTTTATTTTTACATTAAACTGGAATTGAGGGAAAAGCCAGAAAATATTGTTCAAACTGAAAATATAAATAAACTACTTAAAGTCCCAATTCCAAATGAGGAAAATGTTAAATTCTGAGGTTATAATCCAAATATTTATTTTAAAATGTACAATATAATTTGGATGTTTGACTTTTAAATATCTAAAATGTTTTAATTTAATTATTGATTATAATCTCAGGATGTGGAGATTAGAGTAGAATATTTACCTTCTGAGTTTAATCTGAAGTCTCTGGATTTGATTACGATGTCTGAAACTAAAACACATGTATTGTTACTGAGAATTTAACAATTTAATCTTCAGAGATGACATGTTGGCCGTTGGACCTGATCCTCTTCAGTACAAGATTAAATGCTGTTTTACTTTAATCTGATCCAAACAGTCGACACCAGTCAGGTCCAGTGAAATGGAGCTGATTGGTTAAAAAGGGACAGAAATGCCTCCTACAGTATCTGCTACATGTGCAGCATTTACGTCGACAAAAAAAAAAAGTAGAAGAAATCGAACCGTGGTCGTGCAGAAAAGTTCTGTCTGCTGCGGAATTTTTTTTTCTCCCAATAAATAAGTGGTCGTGCAGAAAAGTTCTGTCTGCTACGGATTTTTTTTTACTCCCAATAAATAACTCGCTGCCTGTTTGTGCTTCAACTGTTTTGTCCAAATTGACGAGAATCTCAGCTTTGATTCCCAGCAAAGGTCTGAGAAAAACTCTTAGAAATGTCCGAAAAGCGACAGAACGTTTCAGACGTCGGCTTGAGTAAAGTGTCAGCTCATCTGAGCAAGTGAAAAAAAAAGAAATGAAAAAAAAAAAAGTAAAAATCTGGAAAACGAAAACAACACGAGACGAGAACCCTTGGTATAAATTAATAGGACTTATAAAATTTTAAAAACCCACATCTCCAACTCCGCCCCCGTATCTGACAGCTATGCAGAGCCATGCAACAAACGAGCAGAAACCCCATGAGAAAGTCCGTCGCCCTGACGACGTGTAATCATCTCATTATCATCGTGATTTAATCTCAAAGTGTGAAAGCATAAACATGCATAAATCCCCACCGCTGCTCCCTCTGGAATAGTTTTTTTTTTAAGTACTAAAACACATTTTTCCTCCTCCTTTCTACTAGTCTTTAGTCTAAAAAAAAAAAAAAAAAAAATCATGCTTTGGCTTTGAATTTCAGGTTGTTTACTGCAAAAGGCAAAAGGCCGCCACCTGTGGACAGGTTGTGACAAACAGGGTCAAAAGTTCATATTCTGTCAATAAAACTGTGAGTTGAAGTTAAGTTGTTTATTTATTTTTAATTTAATGGTCTGATATTTTTTAACCTTTGGTTGATTTTAGCATCTGTAGGTCCTTGAATTCTGTTTTATTTACTGAACTAGTGTCTACCAGGTGTAGTCAACAGTCTACAGGAAGGGACAAAATAGAGGAACCACCAAGATAAGGAGTTTCCACAAGGTTCCAGGAGGGGGCACTGTCAAACTTTAACTCTAGATTTTCAGGAAAAAGAAAGATAAAATTTGATATAAACATCTGCAGATAACGTCCAGTTTGGAGGAATAGATACTTATGGAGGAATTCTGGGTATTTTCTATTTAATGCCCGGCTGCCCTCCCCCCCATCCTCAGTGGAAGGACCTCAGTTTGGCTGCTTCTTGTCTCATACCCTGTGTTATGTTGAGTAAGTGTTAGGTGTAGACGCTGTGGCGACGTTATGGAAGCACAGCGATGGACAGACACGGCGTGGACACATGGACGCAGCTATACACAGTATTTACAGAGACCTTCCCTCCAGTCGGCCC